TTTTTTGATCATAAAAGAAGATGTGTGAGCAGATTGAAGGGCAAAAAGAGATTTTTGCATTGTACAGTATTTGATCGGTCGAAAAATGTGCGCGTTTTATATATTTAGTAGTGTATTTTTATACGCTTAATTTATTCGCACGTTTGTATTTTTTTTGACTTATTTATTATTTGAATGGATCCATACACATTGATATTTTTTTTATTTATTTTCAGCTTATTGGAGTATTTTGTGTACGCGAAGCATTGGACGGAAGTTCACGCTACCAATTATCGGGCACTCAATAGTCAATACAATACTAATCTAAGCCGAAAATGCATAAAATTGAAGTGGGCCGGATGAAAAAAAAGCCCAATTGTGATGTTGGAAATTGGAAATGGGACACGTGAACGAAAAGAATGTGGGGCAAGTGATTTGAATTGATTATTTTGAGGGCACTGGACACGTGAATGAAAAGGACTTTAGTCTTGAGGATTTGATTGGCGGAGACTTCGAATTGCTGGGCATTATATTTTTCCAAAAAAAAAAACTCACGCAGCTGCATAACAGAAAAAAGGAGGATTTATTTTGAGAGACACACAGAAAAAGAAAACGCAGCGGCACTCAAACACAGGGAGAGACAGAGACAAAAGGCGAAAGGCGGAGGGAAGCCGCACTCGCACACGAGGGAGATATTTTTATCTTCTCTCTTTTATCATTTATTTATTTTTATTAATATGTTAGACTAGTATTTTTATCCAGTTTGAGGGGATGTTTGAACCCTAACTTCGATTTGTCTATGGATTGAAGGATTTATTTCTTATCGTTGATTAATCGAGACACCGTATTTATTTTGTTGATGAGTTGATTCATGCTATCTGTGTTTAATGTTTATGAATTATGGTGTTTGATTTGGTTTGGCCAGCTAGGTTGAATATTCATAGTTTAATTGCTAGATTCGAGACTTTAATCCGTAATTGTTATTGTCTCGTTTCGTTAGTAGTAAACTAGGGGTCGTGCATCCTTAGGGTAGCGTGAGCATAAGTTAAATGGTCCGAGCTTTTGCGTCCATTACTTAGACTGATCTATTTTCCTAGAAATTAATGCTGCTAGTGTATTAAATCTAGAGAGCTTATTCTAGGTTGTCCACTAGTTAGGTTTAGTCGAAGAACTTATTTCGATTAAATATTCTGTAAGGGAGAATTCGGTTAACAGAGCTTGTTGTTAGCTAGGGTTGGTAATTCGTTAGCAATTTAGAAAAAGCGTCGAAATTAGTTAACGGTAGATTTAGATTGGGTGATAACTGAACCGAAAACTGGACTTCTCTCATTTTATTTAATTTTTATTTTATTTTCTTATTTTTATTTTTATTTTTATAAAACCAATCTCCCCCATCTTTTATTGCTTTCCTAGTTTAATTCAATTAATACGAGATTGTCACAATTTAATTCCTACTCCTCGTGGGATCGACCCTTACTCGCCACTACTACTAGTTAGTAGAGGTTAGTTGAGGAAAATTATAAATTTAAATTTGCCGCGTCGCGACGCGCGGTCAGTATTTATCTCCATCTTAACATAAATCTTCTTAGTTATTGAAAAGTCTACTTGCCAAGGCATTTTTCAGACAATTTGAAGATCCTAATTAATTTATTGTTGCGGTCAGACATGCCAAACTCGCAAATTAATTTTTTAAAACCTCAATTAGAAAGTTCTGTTGAGTAAAGAAAAAGTAGTTGTCCATCTCAGGCTTCATTTAACGACCAACCAACTATGTAACAAAAAGTCAAATTAAATACAACAAAGTAGCCCCTGGGGCATGTAGTCAAGTGGCAAAGGGAGGAGTCTCTTTGAGGCATTGATTCCTGGAGGCGCGGGATCGAACCCAACTACCGTGGGGAGTGGGGATGGGGCACTCTATTCCTCCTGGGTGGATTAGTCCCACCCTCTGGGGTGGAGCTCAGTGGTCTGTTAGGGCCACGGACCAAGAGGTGCTTCCGCTTTGGTGGGGCCGGGGTCCAATGTGGTCTGGACTAGGGGCGTAAACAACAGATGAATGTGGGGATACCACCCAGTCGACANGACAAAATGTATTATATAATTGGTTCTCCAACGTGTCAGTCTGTCAGCTATTTTTTGATTTTGATATGTTGTTTAAATTTTATTTAATGAGTGTCATTGTTACTAAGTCACTTATTTTTTTTTTAAAAAAAAATGTGCCACATTTTTCAGCACTAAATTAATGAGAACTTATAGTTGAAGAGAAACTTCTGCTAAAACAGAGTCAATATCTATGGAGTATGAACACATCCAAATTTTCCAATTTTTATTGGGTGAATTACAAGGAGTACTCCATGAGCTGTTGAAAATTTTAAGATAGGTCCAAAAAGTTTGAGAATATGGCAATTCTGTAATTTACGGATACCTATGGGGTGTGTTTTATATTTATCTTGGGGTGGTTTTGCAACAATCTGAATTTCTTATATATATAAGTTGGTATTAATGGACTAAACATATTAATTCCTCCACACACACACGCAATCTCTCTCAAATGGCGCTCACTAATTGTCAATCTCTATTGGCGATTTTGGTGCTTTTGCTACCCATAGCAACCAAAGGAGATGACCATATTCCTCCAAGCCTTTCTCCCTTTTTTGGTACGTACTTTTAACTACTACTCTTTTATATGTGTTTTTTAGCTTAATTTTGTGTCTCGTACCAAAATAATAATAATAATAATAATAAATAAATAAAATTTCATGTCGAACTCTAGGATTCAACCAATTAGATGATCGATTTAACATGTACAAATACTGCATCAAAAAAATCAACAGCACATACTCATCGTATAAAGTATAAATGATCGTGTCAATCATTCAGCAGAATGGAAGATATATCAATATATAAGATTGTTTAGTAGTTATTACTTGAAGGGTTGAAATTTTGGTCGATTTACTCCATGGTTATTTTAACTATATGAATTGGTTAATTTGCAGAGAATTTATGTAACGAGGTTGAATGTGGAAGAGGGAGTTGTGAAGCGGCTCTGGGTTACCCTTTTAACTTTAGGTGCGACTGTGATGAAGGATGGAGGCGGACCCGTCTTGAAGATGACGATGAGCGAGACTTTGAATTCCTACCATGCATCATCCCAAATTGTAATTTTTTTAAAAAATAAAATAAAATAAAAGATCACAATATAATAAATTAAGATTGAATTGTTTTATTTTTTTTACTTCTATTTATGTTTCATCTTGATGCATGCATGATTCACACAAGCAACTCCACTAGTGCCCAACTGCTTTATAAAATGGCATTTTTACCCTGTAACAACACCAACTGCTTTATATTATATATTTAGACTAAGATATATTTTTTTATTTTGTTACGTTTAGGTTCTTTGAACTATTCGTGTATGCCGGCCCCTCCACCAGCGCCACCAACTCCACACAACTTATCCTACTTTGATCGTAAGTAATTTTCCTAACCCAAAGCCTTATATATGGTGTTTAATGTAATTTTTTTTTTATTTACATTTGACCCAGATTATTCCTGAAATAAATATATCCTACAATAATATCATAATTAATATGAAACATAAAAAAAAAAATATATCATGAATTTTGATGTAGCTCTCTAATCTATAATTATATTAAAAGATATACCATTTACCAGATTTAGTGTAAAGAAAAGTCAACAACATTTATTGCATTACTATTTCCGTATTATACAATCTATACTTATATAAAAGGAGATTCTATTTACTACATTTACTATCCAGAAAAGTCAACTGCATTAAATGTCATTACTGTTTTGGTATTATAATATTTTATTTATTTAATTGATTTATTTATTTGTTTTATTTTAAAAAGGTAAGTATAATAAAAAGATTTTAATAATAAAAAAATCAAATACCAAATAAAAATGTACACTTTGACTTATTTGATTATATTTGGTATTTGATTATACCAAATATATTCCTATTTAGTATATACATTAAATACTTACTAAAGTATTTATTTGTTTTATTTGTCAAAGTTAAGTATAGATTTGTTTATATTATCAAATCATAAAAAATATTAAATTCATATTATAAAAAAAAAATCATATAATTTTATAACAATTCTACTACACTATTTAACAATATTTCTTTTTTATTATATTATAAAATAATAATTAAATATTATATGGTGAACAACAATAAGTAAAACTGTTACTTTCTCTTATATCAAGAGATAAATTTATATGCTAAAATTAAATTTATATTTGTATAAATGTTTTAGTGAGATAATATATTAATTATTTTACAAGCTAGCCCTAACATGCTCATATTTAATGTTTTAAAAAATGTAGAAAAAAAACTTATAATAACTCTATTATTTTTTAGACTTAAACGTTGATTAAAAGAGGTAAAAATTCTTAATTTTTTAGACTTAAACGTTGATTAACACCATAGATTGAGAGTTTATATGTAGTAAAATTCCTAATTGTAATAAAAAAAAAATTAATTTTTGCTATATTTTAGAATATCTTTAAATTCATTATAATAAAAAAAGAAAAAAAACTACAATGAAAAAAGCAAGTCAGCTATATATCGATTTGTTGTACTCCTCAAATCACATTCACAATTTGGCTACAAGGAAAGGAAACTCATTGATTAAATATTATTTTGTCGGTAGTCTTAATGTACAAGAGACTTTAAGACTCCACTTGATTATTATAAAACGTTTATTGAACATTGTACAATTTTCTTGTGTATTATAAACTTTTATTGAATATTGCATCTTATAATATAATATTCTCCAAATAAATATATATCGTGCTTCGCACGGGTCATGTACTATATATATTTCGTACATTTTTTTTATTCATGTATATAATTATAAGCCTGGATAAATAGCCTTAAAATTGTGCAACCCGTGCATCGCACGGGCTCTGTACTAGTACTTATAAAATATAATTCCTTTTTTTTTTGGTTTATTTTGTTAGCTTGCTATTGGGTCTACTGTGGAGCAGGAAGTTGCACAAGGAATGCAACACATACACACACGTGTCAATGCAATCCAGGCTACTCTAATCTTCTCAATATCTCTGCCTTCCCATGCTACAATGACTGTAAGATTATCCCGAAATAATTAATAAGTCTATCATTATATTAAAAGATTAACCATTTAACACTTTTAGCAAGTTTTTCCCGCCAAATACATTTAATGTCTCCTAAAAATAGAACAACATTAAATGTTGCCCTTAAATCATGGCAGTTGTTAATTTAGTTTGGAGAAAATTGTGGCAACTAAAACAAACAACATTAATTACGGATGATTTAGTATTTAAATGGTAAACAAATATCTATACTTATATTAAAAGGTATACCATTTACCAGATTTAGTATAAAGAAAAGTCAACAACATTTATTGCATTACTATTTCCGTATTATACAATCTATACTTATATAAAAGGAGATTCTATTTACTACATTTACTATCCAGAAAAATCAACTGTATTAAATGTCATTACTATTTTGGTATTATAATATTTTATTTATTTAATTGATTTATTTATTTGTTTTATTTTAAAAAGGTAAGTATAATAAAAAAAATTTAATAATAAAAAAATCAAATACCAAATAAAAATGTACACTTTGACTTATTTGATTATATTTAGTATTTGATTATACTAAATATATTCCTATTTAGTATATACATTAAATACTTACTAAAGTATTTATTTGTTTTATTTGTCAAAGTTAAGTATAGATTTGTTTATATTATCAAATCATAAAACAAATAAATATATCTCGTGCTTCGCACGGGTATTTGAACATTGTACAATTTTATTGCGTATTATAAACTTTTATTGAATATTGCATCTTATAATATAATATTTTCTAAATAAATATATCTCGTGCTTTGCACGGGTCACGTACTATATATATCCCGTACATTTTTCTTTATTCATGTATATAATTATAAGCCTGGATAAATAGCCTTAAAATTGTGCACCCCGTGCATCGCACGGGCTCTGTACTAATTGATATACAAATAGAGTCTATCTTTCAAAATTAAATATAAGAGCAACTTTAATAAGGGATTTAAGCAGAGGTTTACAAATTCAAACCTTGAGGTTTATGGTTAAATGAGACAGCTCTGAGGTTTAAAATTTCAAACCAGGTTTGTAAACAAAAACCTCCCTCAAACCCCATAAATATAAAACAGAAAAATTTTAAAAATGAGCAAAATAAAGAGAGTACAAGACACAGTTTTGTTCCATATCATTCAAAGCCACGCGTGTATAACACTCTTCACAAGTCAAGTGAGTTGAAGGTTGGCCCACCTTTGCACGTCTTACATCTTGTCTCCACCCACCTTTTTTACTTCATTTTATTTGTTTTATTTTGTTCAAATTTCTTTCTCTCAATTTATTTTGCAAAATAAATTATCTTATTTTTTACGTTTTATGCTCTCTCAATCCAATATATATGTATTATATATACAAATAATTGAGATTTAAATTGTTGAGGTTTTGCATTCATAAAAATTAAAATCTAGAAAAACTAAATTAAAATTATTTTAAATTTAAGATATTTAATTTATATTTATTGATTACTATTTTCATGCATTTTACTTTTTCTATTAATCTATTGTGCGTATTTATGATAAATATGTGAAACATTTAGATTATATAAAAATAAAATTGAAGTTATAGTTTTAAAATATTAATTAAAAATAAAGAGTATAATATTAATTATAAAAATAAGTGGGAAACATGTAGGACCCATAAAAAAGAGGTTTATGAGGTTTGTTATTATTGGAGGTTTATATGTGTAGGAGTAAGAATGAGGTTTTGGATGATGTGGCATATTGGGAATAGATAAAGGAGGTTTGTGTAGGAGGGTTATTAGAGATGCTCTAAGTTTGATACAGAATTCAAGAAATTGTAATTGAATTTATTTTCTACTTTGACTAACTTCACTTTTAAATATATTATCATCTATAATAGTTATAAGTAGAGCTGTTAAAGGAACTAAGTCATTTGGATTCAGTTCAACTTATTAAAGTTCGAGTTTGGTTCGACTCCTTTATCGTTCGAGCTTGTTTAGCTAACAAGCCGAGTTCGTTAGGCCCGAAAAAATAAGAATTTTTACGTAATTTTTTGAACTACTACCTAAGCTCGACTCGTAAAACAAATTGAGTTGTTTGTAGGTTCGGTTTAGCTCATTGAAACTCGAGTTTGGTTTGGCTCGATTACAGTACGGGCTTGTTTAGTTAACGAGCCATACTCGTTAACCCTGAGAAATAAGAGTATACACATAATTAATTTCAGAACTATTAAGTCTTGGCTAACTTAATAAAGACTTAAGGTCAAGATCGAGTATCAGGAGTTTGAGCTCAGCTTATTTCCAATTCTAGTTACAACACGATTTTTTTCTACTAGCAGCTATATAGAATGTACTGATTATAGTGAAATATAATTTTTATAGGTGCTGTTAATTCAAACTCTTGTGGGCGACTTGGAATAGTTCAGGGTAGGTCTACTTCAAATACGAATCCGGCAAGTGATAGTAATCAAGGTGAGGGTTTGTTATTATTTTACTCATCAATTAATTACTTATGCAAATAAATAAATAATGAAGGTAGACTTTATAGTTCAATAATATTATCAATTTTAACAATAATCATTTTTAATACTGTTTTATTTACCACATACTAATGTTATTCCTTATAACATCTGTTTTCTGTGTGTTCTTTACTTCAAAGCAATGAAATATATATTTCACATAACCAAAAATGCACTGGTTTTATAACTCTGATCAAATCTTTTAATATGCAGCTATGGCTATTTCTTTGGAGAAGTTTAGTTGGATTGCAATATTATTTGCAACTACTGTGATGGTTTTGTCAAAATAAATTCTATCTATATGATGATGTGTGTGCTTTTATTCTATTTATTATTATTATTATTTAGGACTGCCATTATTTCTTTTTGGACTAAGATATTCGCTCATGTGTTGATATGAATAATGCGAAAGTGCCGAGCTTGTATATAATAGACATTGGTTTTTATTTTTATTTTTACCCTTAATTTCGAGTTTAGTATTTACAATGTGATGAGTGATATGGAAAAGGAGGATCAGGTAAGATTTTTTGTTTTTTAGAATAAAATATTATCCCAATTGCCTTGTATTTTTTTTTCTCTATACAATTAGATATTCATATACTTATAACTTGTAAGTCCTACTTTAAAAATGCCAATCACCATTGGAATTCTTAAAAATAGCTTAAGAAAGTCCATCAAAGGCTACTGTACCCATCCTTGAAATCTATTCTGGCCTGTTTGAGGATTAACAATATACTGGTAAAAACTGGTAAATGACAAAATTATTACTTACCAATTGATGGATTTCAAGGATGGGTACAGTAACCTTTATTATTAGTTACTTGTAAACTTGCTTCATAAATAACTAACAGCGAATAGTGAATTTATAGCATAAAATAAGAACAACATTAAAAAATATTTATATTAAATTTATTTATTTATAATATAGAACTTTAAAATGAATTCATTGTAAATAGTTAAATATTATTAATTTATCAACAATGACTTATTTATATGATTAATAATAAATATATACAAAACTATCGTTTTTAAATATTTTAAAATCACATCTTCACAAAAAAGCTCCTATTTGGAGCTTCAATATCAATTATCTTTACCAAACGTGACCAAAAAAATATCCAGCCGGTCAAATAGGTCAAACGTCTTGTTACCAAAGGTCCAAACACAGCTTTTTTCAAAGACAATAACACAAACAGTAACATATCATATTTTTGCTGGAAAAATTATGCTGGAAAAAGAAAAGTAAAATGTACCAAAATCAACATATTCTTTCAATTAGAGACCAAATGCCTGAAGCAAGTTTTTCTGTTAGTTTGTTTTTCGTTCGTAGCTCTCATGAACTATCTCCAGAAATCAATAAAATAACGTAAAAAAATTCATAGTTTCGGTTCGTAAGAAAAACCAACTACCTAAAAGCTGCAACATCATCCTTGAATAGATTTAAGAGACCTTCAACACTTATGGATTCAAACTCATTGCCGCCTCTAACCCGCAACGACACCTGCACGTATTATAGCAGAGGCTTTTAGATAGAGAGAGAGAGAGAGGATCCATTTGGCATTCGCAATTCAATACGTATTCATTGATGAAAAAAGTTTGGTTGGTGAATGAAAGTTAATGGAAGAATTAGTAATATTTAATGTAAAGTGATGTAATATAAAAATTATAATTAATTGTAATGTGATATGAAAATAGTAAAATTATAATTAATAGTTATAAATACGTAAGTGAATGAATATAAAATTTATAGATAAAAGTGTAGTGATTATTGATTTATAATTTACAATTTTGGATTGAAAATATGGATGGAGGAAACAGAAAAGTGAGATAGAAGAATAGTTTATTTATTTTTATTTTTATTTTTTTATTATTATTATATGATGGATGAGTAAATGAGTTTATATAAGTATTCAATTGCAGCCAAGTAAACATTGTAAAGTAGGTACTTTTTACCTTTCCGGTTCCAGTTTCTTGCGCGCCAACAACTAAGATATAGTTGTACTGAGCCAATTGAGCTTCTCGTACCTACAGATATTTATTTATATAACCCACCAAAATCATTCACATGCGAGTCTCAAAATGAAAATATATTAAAACAATTCCGGTGAAGCCATTCTTTACATGTGCTATGTTTGGTAAATCTAGGTGAAACGCTAGCTTATAATCAATAAGTTAACTGATATCTCATAAATTAATTTAGAGCTTATAGCTGACAATTTCTGAATGATGGTTCAAAAGCTAGCAGATATAACAAAAGTGTGGTAAAATTAGTTGATAATTCAACTGAAATAAAAATTTCAACGGACTCTTTTGAATAGCTACATAAACAAGCTTATCAGAAAAGCTCATGCTTTTTTCAAAAAGCTCATTTTACCAAACCAACTTATTTAAATACAGAAAGCTTATAAACTCACTAAATAAGCTATAAGTTGGCTTATGATGCTTACCAAACATACACATAAGACATAGAATATTCATTTTGACTGATTTATAGGCAACTGCATTCTACTCAAAATGTAATTACACTACAGTGGATTGCAAAAAGTAAGGAACGAGTATAAACGCACCTTTTTTGGAACTGTTCTGTCACTAGTGTCAACATCAACAAAGAACCCAGCCTCATGTATGCGATCCCGGATCTATTATCCATAATAATTTGGCAACTTAAGGAACTCGCATAAAAAAAGGAAGCATTTGCAAAACAAAGTTGCTAGTGTACCAAAATAGTATTAGACATTGAGCTACATCTAACCTCTAGTGCATAAGGCACGTATGTGTCAGATACAGTGCAAACTATTGATTGACGTGGACTAAGCCAAAACGGCCACTTGCCCTTGTAATGCTCCAAAAGTATTGCAAACATTCGTTCGACAGAACCGAGAATAGCTCGGTGTATCATAACAGGCCTCTCCCTCTTAGTTTCATCTTCTGCTGAGTAGGATAAGTTGAAACGAGCAGGGAGCTGGAAGTCCAGCTGGAACAGTAAAAAAATTCCAAGCTATTAAGAAGCTGTCTTCATAAAAGTTGCAAAATCCTCATAAAACACTGATAAGTAGGAAAGCAATAAAAACAAAACCTGCAATGTAGCACATTGAAACTTCCTTCTCATTGCATCAGAAACACTGATGTCAATCTTAGGCCCATAGAATGCTCCATCGCCTTCGTTTATCTAATAAAAAGATTTGAAGTCAGTTTTACAACAGCGGTTTCCAACTGTGCTTCGATAAGAATAATGCTGGTAAATTATCAATGGGGCAGTATTAAATGTAAAAGTAACTAACCTCCCAAGGTTTGCCAAACTCATTTAGTGCTTCTGCAAGAGCAGATTCAGCCTTTTCCCATACTTCCAAGTCCCCAAGATATTTCTCCGGTCTCTGCAGCACATTAAGAAATATTAGCTTTATCTTTCAAAATAGGTATTATCCATTTTTTTTTTTTTTTTTTGGGTAATACCCATTATGTTTACCACAAAAGTACATATAGTTGGGGTGCTGGTGTATAATGTGCATAAGACTATTATTGTGAATTTTATTTTCATGTCCTATCGAACATTTCTTTTTCATGTAATTATCGCTTTTGATTGAAGGGAGGTAAAAATATAAACAGATGGCATAGTAGGGTAACTTAAGTAAGAACTACATACTAAAACTTCATACCGTAGATAACTTTAGGTCAAAAGTGAAACCAAACACTTCGTACACATAACTGATGAATTCCAACACAGACTTCACTTCATCTTTAACCTGAGGATCAGATTATAGGAAGATAACATAAGACAAGCTTCACCAAAAGCTACACAAGCAGGATACAGCCAAGAAAGTCCATCTTACCTGCAATTCCCTGCAGAAAATATGGGCATCATCCTGTACCAAAACTTTTGTGTCATTAGCATTAAGCAATTGAAACAAAATTGTCACATGCAATCATAAATATATCGGTATAATGTTCATCTGATCTGGTCAAGCTCACTGTTTAAAACTAAAATTAATTTAGCAAATGTAGAATGCCAAGAACATCACTCGCTACCAGGTAGTACTTGATAAATGCAAAAGACAGTAGTGAAAAAAAAAATAAAAANAAAAAAAAAAAAAAAAGTACACATGCTTTTACTTTTCATTATACGATCTTAGATATACCTGTTGAAATCTCCTGACACGAGTCAAACCAGTTAGTGCACCACTCGCTTCATTCCGATGCAGGACCCCAAAATCAGCCAGGCGAAGTGGAAGTTCTGCAATAAAAAGGGTTGGGCTCAAGTTTCACATACTACTAAAAATGAACTGCAGCTGTCAGTTAGAATCCCGCGCAAAAGGCACTAGCACACACATTAAAGATAATAGCATAAAAGTGGTCTCTAGTTCTCGACATAAGTAAATCTGTTTCAAAACTGTAGAGGAAATAGCAATGAGGATACAGGATACTATCACATTTAACAATTAAAATGCAGACCTTATTATCACATATAAGACAGGATCACAAAGAAAGGATCACCTCTATATGAGCGGACCCTATGATCAAATATAAGACAATGGCCAGGGCAGTTCATTGGCTTCAGTCCAAATTCTTGTTTCTCCACCTGAAAATTTTCAGGTCCATCACTCCCTCTACTTTGAAGATACATATAACCAGAAAGTACCCCCAACTTATTATTTGGCAATGGAATTATGGATACAATAATTTCGTAATAAAACCAATCTTTTACTAGGATGATCTCACCTCAAACACAAACATATTCTCCTTGTAATTTGCTGCATGACCAGATGTTTCCCACAGCTGCATATTGTACATATTTGGAGTCCACACCTAATAAACCAAGCAATAGGTAGCTATGAAGTGATACAATTATGTAGTGACAAATCCATAGGCACCCTTCAAGACTGGTAATCAAATATTACCTCTTCATAGCCTCTCTTCCAGTACTGACTTCTAATGAATTCCAGCAACTTGTTGCAAACTCGAGCACCATGGGGTAAGAAGAAACAACTTCCTGGGCTAAATTGCACACACATGTCAATTTATAAGTCAAAAAACAAATTAAGCTGGAAAAGAAAGTGTAATATAGCCCGAACTCTTACCTTAGAGGGTGAAAAAAGAAAAGTTCTTGCTTTTTCGTGAGTTCTCTATGGTCGTATTTTTTTGCTTCTTCCAGCATGGCTTTGTATTCCTGTGTGGATTACCATTACGCAAATCAAGTGAGCTGATAATGCTGAAGGGAAATATCGTTACTAACAATGCCATATGATAGCAAAAGCAGGAAGGATAAAGTCAGAAAAAATGTCACCTTCAGACGTTTTTGATCTGGATATGATATGCCATAGACTCTTTGCAAACTTTCACGGTCTTTATTTCCACGCCAGTAAGCTGATGATGCCTGATAATACATATTTGAAAAATGAGAAATGAAGACTCACAGACTCAATATTTACTAACAATGAAAAGCAGATCTCACCTTCAAACAGCTAAATGCTTTCACGAAAGATGTGTTAGGTATGTGAGGTCCACGACAAAGATCAACCAACGGACCACATCTGTACACTGTGATTGTTTTATCCTCTGGTAAATCCTTGATAATTTCAACCTAGAAAGGGAGGGTGAAGATACAGAGAACAGTCATAAACAATTCAAAAATAAGTATACAGTTTCATCAGTAATGAAGATTAAGATGTAGATATATAACTAGGATTGTAAACTAAAAGACCTTGAACTGGTTGTCCGAAAACATGTTAAGAGCCTGTTCCCTTGTGACTTCAATGCGCTCGAAGGGTTGTTTTTCCTAAAGCACAACAATAATACAACAATCATAATAGGTTTGAGAAAATATGTGAAGTGACCTTATTAGACCAAATAAGAAATGCCAACTCTTCAATGGTAAAGCAACATAATTCTAGAAGCAATACATCAACAGCTTTCTTGGCAGCTGCTTCAATCTGTTTAAAGTGGTCCTCATTCAGTCCCAGATCACCATAAAATGCATCATAATAAAACCCCTGTAAATGAATTATACCGTTCAACATAGGGAACATATATTTTTATAACAGTAGTTCAAAACAATAAATCCACTCAAAATGTAAAAGCAACTGAAAGATTCCACTACAAACACATTAGTTTTGAAGGGAGACCAAATTTATGAAATAGTCCAATCAAAATAGTACTCTCGTTCATCTAAGATAAGCATGGAGAAAAATTCACACCAATTGTGAGAACATGTTAATATATTTGTCGTTGCAATTTTGCTACATTCTTCCTCTTTCGCCTTGAATTAAATGTAATATCAACTTTAATTTTTGGAACTCTAGGTGAATTGATGAATATAAACTGCACTTAGTAGGGATACCCATAATTAATACTCTGATGCAGATTTTTGGAAATATAATCAAAGACAAAATGATCTGAGCCAAGATCAAAGAATGCAACACTTGCTCTGTTAATTTGTTTGATTGACAGTACCAAATATGTGTAATTTTGGAGTTAGTTAAGATAGATTTTTTCACGAATGCTATAAACTGTAAAAGGGTTCCTTTAAAATTAGACGAGCAAGAAATAGTAACATTTACATTCTGTTCTTTTATAATGAAAACTATTGCATTTCATTGTCCTCCTAAAGCTTAGCGTTGATAGTCCAAATTCATTCTCCAACAACGTCAATGGCCCTTTGACGAGACATAACATTCTCTCAGAAAATAAACAATGTACAGCTTGAGAAAGCAACTAAAGGAAAACAAGCCTAGATATGCACACAAATGGGATATTTAGGAGAAGACGCCATCAATCCATAAGAAGAGAAAACAACGCAAGCAAAATGCAAAAATCTTACCTCCCCCCTTGTGGTGCAAGGCCCAATGCATAATCGACACCCATATGCCTGCTCTAATGACTGGAAACCACTCAAAATCAAAAGACAAACCGGTGGTCATTCACAAATCAAGTTGAAGTTGTAATCTTTACTCAAAGTTATAATCTTCACTAAGAATATCATCAAACTTAAAATAGTTTACCTCGCCAAGAATGTGTGCACTTGAATGCCAGAAGGTATCACGGCCCTCATCAGTATCAAAGGTAAACAGCTCGAGCTTGCAGTCTCCTTCCAATGGCCGGCTCATATCCCACAGCACCCCGTTTACCTTCGAGATCAACGCGTTTGACGCCAAACTCTTTGATATCTCCTTGGCAACATCAAATGGCGTCGTGCTCCACTTCTTTCCTTCTTTCACCTTCCCATCCGGCAACGTAATCCTATTTCGAATAATTTTGAAACCAAAATTGTAAAAGTCAATTTATTATCAAATAAATGAGAAAAAAATGAACGAATAGGTAACCGCGATTACTGGATAGGATCAGGAGAAAGCGAAAGGCGACTAAGGTTCTGTTGATTTTTCAAGGATTCGAAAAGCTCAATGCGTTTGGGTATTACGGTCTCAATATAAGTTTCGTCTTTGGTGTAGGCCGGAGGAGCTGGGCTTGAGACAGGCTTAGCCTTCTTTTCGGCGGCGGACACTCCCATCGGAAAGAAGAAGAGTCGACCGGTTGAGCAATACGGCGGCGAACGGCGGATGGACAGCGGGATGCGTAACAAGAAAGAGAGTTCAGAGTTGCGTATGGGACGGCTGGAGAGAGGGAGATCTTTTCAGCAAGGTTTTGAAAACCCGCGGATAGGATAAATCATTCGGTTGAATGGTTTCCCTGCTTCCCTCGTCGAAACAGGTATGAACACATCTGCTATTTGCGGCCCTTTTACAAGTGACGGCTCCTTTTTTATTCGTTTGCCCTTAACCTATTTTTTTCTATTTGTCTCTCTAAATTTTCTATCTCTCTAAATTTCCGAACATTCAACGAGCGATTTGAACACCGAAAATAATTCAAAATAATATCGAAAAAATCCTACAACCTCAGCAAGGCTTACTTCTCTAGCAAGGTAATTTATTTTTTCACCACAAATATTTTTAAAAGTTTTTTTTAAATTCTGGACCGACGTCCAACCGTCGTCTCCGGACACCGGTCGGCCGTCCGGTCGTCAGTTCCGGACGGCGGAGAAGGCATCCGATCCCGCCAGACGCACGGCTTTTACGCCGATCGCGATCGGCGGCCGGACGCCGTGAAGGATGAGCGAGATCGAGGGTCGGTCGGACCGAACCGGACCGGCCCCGACGGCCGATGACGAACCGGCCGGACAAATTTTTTTTTATATAATAATCATAATATAATTATAAATACTTATATTAATAATAACTATAATAATAATAATATTTATAATAAAGATTATAAATAATAATAATAATAATACTATTTATAATATAGATTACATATAATTATAATAATAATTATAATAAAAATTACAAATAATTATCATAATAATTATAAATTAGAAATAATTATAAATTAGAAATAATTATAATAATTACAATCACAATTATTATTTATAATAATAATAAGGTGAATAAATTGTAGTTAATTATAAATTATAAAAAATATTAATTGTAATTAATTGTAATTTATAACAATTATAATAATTGTAATTAATTATAATAATAATTATAATAATAAAAATAATTATAATTTCTTATAATTTTAATTATAATAATTATATTTAATTATAATTAATTATAATTTCTTATAACTTTAGTTATTGTAATTAATTATAATAATTATAATTTTATAATAATAATTATACATTAGAATTAATTATAATAATTATAATAATAATTTATTATAATATTTATTATAATTATAATAAATATTATAAATTATAATAATAATAATTATTAAAAAAATGAATTATAATATATTTTAATAGTTATTACAATATTTATTACATATAGAAAAATTTAATAATTATATTTCTGATTCAGGGTGTTAGCAGACCTGGACAATCAAATGTCAGGGATGACGACGAGGCGTTCGATGACTATTATGATGGTTCTGGCACCCGACACACTAGAAGTCGGGGTGTCAATGCATCCGTTCATCGGGACAGACAGACGTTGATCGATGAGGCTCAGTGGTTAAGACTCCTCAGGCTAGGCAGAGTTCGAGACCCTCCGCACCAGTACGAGATGGTCCGCAGGGATATCATTTTGAGGGCCAGCCAGATAGTTCGTGACTCCACGGAGTCCTACCGTACGGTGAGCATGGATATTATTATCTTGGCCAGACAGGCAGTTCGATGCCCCCGGCACCAGGACCGTACGAACAGCGGGGATATTTTTTTCCCCGCCACGCAGGGAAGTCGGTACCCCGCGCACGCGCACCATTACCTTACGGTCAGCAGGGGTATCCTGATAAGTCGTACGGCGAGAGGGAGCCAGGTCCAGAGGAGTGTGACTCGGACGACTCCTCAGATGATCAGGACCACGCACAGCCTATGGGTCCTACCCACCCTATTCCTCCTGTACAGCCTGTTCTACAACATGTTCGTCCGGTACAGGCTGTTCTTCCTACACAGCATGCTCCTCAACGATAGGTTGGGGGGCGTTTTGGTAGCGTTGCATCCTCATCAGGTAAATAATTTACGTATTTATTGTTGTTTAACATAAAATATTTTTACTTAATCATAACAAATTATGGGTACTGTTAGAAAAGTATTATCGGCCTGCTCCTCAACTACGGTATACTTATTTTGTAATTTAGAGGAACCATACTATTCATTAGTTAGAAAATTATTATAATTATTTTTATTATTGTTATAATCAATTAGTAGTAATGTTACATAATAAATTAGTTTAAAATTGTCATTATATTTTATTAATGTAAAATGTAATGTTTCTACATTAATTGAAAAAAAAAAGAGCGAGAAACTTATGAAATATGTTTTATTAAATATATTTTATTTAATGCATCTGCCAGCAAGTCTATATATACAAATATGTTGATTGTAATGCAGGTACTAGCAAACAAGCTAGGACCGATAATTATGCACCCCGGATCGTTAAAGGCCCAGTGGCCGGTGGGCCCATTGATGGGAGTGTCATCCCTAGTTTTCTAGGGCACATCGCCTCCCGCATGTGGAATTGAGACTTTAGGGGGCTGCTGAAATGCCACAACAGACTGAGAGCGGTCGAGAATCTGAGGGAATGGCGTGATGAGATGTCTTCCGATGCGAGAGCTCTGATCGAGAAGACCGGGGTGTCACATCTGGTCGACTCCATGCACAGCCACTTGGACACTCCACTCCTTTCAGCGTTTGTGGAGCGATGGCAACCGGATACTAACTCGTTTCACCTGCCTTTTGGTGAAATGAGCATCAAGCTGCACGACGTCCGGGCCATTTTAGGCGTTCCTGTGGAGGGAGCCGTGGTTGCTGAGGACCCGGATTCAGACGCCTACCAGGGCTCTGCATGTCGATACTTTCGGTCACCAAGGCCGAACTCATGAGTTCGTTCAGGCAGCGTGCTTCGGTGATCGAAGCCTCCATTGTGGGGGCATTCAAGGGGAAAGGCCGACTGGCTAAGTATGAGGCGGGTGCCTGGATGTGGGTGATGCTAGCTACCACATTGTTCGTCGACAATAGTGATAGTAGAGTGACCCCCAAGCTCCTGCACGAGGTGCTCGACGGCTTGGATATAATTGGGGGTTACTCATGGGGATCGGCTACGCTGGCATACTTGTACACTCGCTGCTCATGGCCAAATGCATAAGCTGGGAAGGAACGTCTCTACCCTGGAAACTCTCTTTCCACAGCTTATCTTTAAAGTTATATACCTGTCACCGATTAGCGTTAATTATAATTATCATTATAATTTAAAACAAAAAAAAAATACTATATTATATTAATAAATAAAAAAGTATATTAATTAATTTATTTCATAAAAAAAATTATTAACTATCATAATAATAATACATTAGTAAATATAATAAAATATATTAATTATTACAATAACTTTTAGATATAAAAAAATTACTAATTATCATAATTAACTTCAAAAAGTTAATTAAAACATATGTTACAAGATATAAATATATATACCTGTTGCACATGAACGTTGTCTCCCGGATTCTTTTCCTTCAGCGCGGCCATAATTTTTGTCGGGGCCACCTGAGCGTCCGTCATATCATGAACAATATTCTTAGATGAAGCGCTGAGGCCGCTCAACTGGCGATGACCCTCAGGATACACAACAAAAGAATGGTTATGGTAGCCCTTATCTTCCTTGCTACATCTACAGATCCTCTAGTATGGCTCGCCTGGCACCTTTTTTACTTTGATTTCAAAATCGCAATTGCACTTATTCGTTTTTGTCTTTCTGGAATTTTCACATGTGCCTCTGTAGCGTCCGCCTCTATGACACTTCAAAAGCTTGACCATTTTCTTTTTGTGTTTCGAAATTACTAATAGAAAACCATTCAGCATTACCTGGTATTTTGCTGCAAAATACCAGGTAATGCTGAATGGTTTTCTATTAGTAATTTCGAAACACAAAAAGAAAATGGTCAAGCTTTTGAAGTGTCATAGAGGTGGACGCTACAGAGGCACATGCGGAAATTCCAGAAAGACAAAAACGAATAAGCTGGCCGGTCTAACTCCTAACACGATAATTTAATAACATAATCAAATATAAATTGTAACATAATAATTTCTAACGCCTAACACGATAATATCTAACGTCCAATTTATAACATAATTATTTCGAATATATAACATATAATTAAAAAAAAAAACAAGGGTCTGGCCGGTCTCGACCGGTCGTATTTTAAAGCGTCCGGTTCCAGTGGTCGAACAGGCTAAAAGCCGTCTGATTTCGCCGGCCGGACAAAAAAAAATCCGTACCTCCGAATTTGAAGACAGGTTCAATTGTTTACTGGTTGAACCAGTAATTGAATCGATAGAACCAGTTATATATTTATTAATTTATTTTATACATATGATATATATTTATGTATATGTTTAATGTTTGTATATGTTTAAACCTTATAAGATAACATTTGGACACAACTACAGTATTGCGTTTATAGTCAGTATGTGTTGAGTATATCACTTGATTTTTTATTTACATAGCATTTTTATCTAACCAAAATTATGATGTTTGAATTTAGTTCAGTATATTGTATTTATAATTAATATATTCAGTATATGTAGCATTTTTTTATTTACATAGCATTTTTATCTTACCACAATTGTGTTAAATTTTTGTTCAGTATATAAACTGTCATATACATATCATAAACTCATCATAATCATTATTTTAATAAATTATTTTAGTATATGTAGAATATATGATATACATACAAAGGTCAATAGCTTGAAAGAAATGTCAATCAATTGAAAAAATGGTTTAATGAATGGAAAAAACATAAAAATAATAATGGTAATTGAAAAGTTATACATCTTAACATAACCAGAATAAAATTATGAATTATATACATGTCATAAATGGTAGCGTCACTGAGATTGTGTCAACAAAAATGTATTGTATATACACGCAACATATACTGTTGTCTTCTCCACGAGCCCGAGCTTCGAGCCTCGCCTTCGTAATCTCAAACTTGACCCCCTCGCTGGGAAGGAGGGGAAGGACGCGCAGCTGTCGGAGTCCATCGTCCTCTGCTGAATCCCGGCGTCCAACGACCTCCCCCACTCACGAGCCAGAAGGGACCGCCGCACGATCCTAGCCGTCTGCTTCAACCGCCGAATTCGCCAGTTGCCGCGCCACTCCACCCAGCCGAGAGGCGAGTGGAACCCCTCAGCCCTCTGTCGCCGACTGTCATCACCAGGCTTCGGGAGAAAAATAAATAAATAAAAGAAGAAGAAGAAATAAGATAAATACATATGCAATTTGGAGAAGAAAAATTGAGAATGAAGAAGAAGAAGATGAAATGAATATAAGAAGTAAGCTTCAAATTTTGATAATGGCATCACCAAATTTTGCTATGGAGCCATCAGATGGCTCGGCTTATGGAACCATACACACTTATTCACCAATAGTGTATTGACAAGTGTCCTGCAATAAATATACTTTGGACAGGTGTCAATACATTAAGTGGTGGATGGCTCCATAAGAAAACCATCCGATGGCTCCATAAAATTTTTGTGGCATCACCGAAGAAAAAAAAAGGAGAAGAAGAATGAGAGATAATATTCTTACCGATTACTGTTGACATCAAAAATTGTATCAACACCAAAATAATTTGTATAAAAAGTAAGAAAATCCAGATCTTGGATGAATATATATTTTTATTCGTTTTTGGGAGATGGAAAAAATGTCTCTCCTTTCTTTGCTATTTTCTCTCTTACCCGAATGAGAGAGAGACTCCTCAATAATTGTGGGTCTCTCTTTTTATATGGCCTCACCAGTGGGCTTTTTACCTAATTTACAACAATATAGTAATACAAGTGTAATAAATAAGATGTGACCACGTAGGACCCAGTAATTATGAATGACGGCTTCGATTGACGTTTTATCCTGTCGACGATACTGACGTTCGCAGGAGTCGGCCTTCCTACGAGATCTGGGTCTGACAATTACTTTAAACTCTGCTCGGCTCGGAAGTGGAGGAGCTCGATATCTGTAGCTCGGTGAATTCCGGATTGGTTCTGGAACCTATTACTTTCATATTTATTTATTACATATTTTATCCCTCGTTTATTTTTTCATGTCTCGTATATTTATTAATCGTGGCCAAATTGGATATCAACAATCACCTCGGAAGTGTTTTTGGAAGGTGATAAGTTTTCATTAGTTAAGCTAAATATTGATTAAATATGTAAATTAATGATTTTCTCGAATTTTGGAAATTTTGCAAATAAAAACACTAGATCTTTTTGAATTGCTATTATTTTACAAAGTGGTTTTATTTATGTAATAAAAAAAGATATGTCTCGTTGTATAGGGTACAATTTTCTCAAAAATATGGGATCTCATTGCCACATAATTTAATTAGGTAAATGAGAACCTGAATAGCGACAGTGAATCGCCATATTTCAAATCAACCATTTTAGCCAAAAAAGTGACGTGCTTTATATCAACACTAGTACGTAGCCCGTACGATGCACGGGTCAGAGTTTCTAATTTTCTATATAGCCTGCTCATTAGATCTAAAAAAAACAGAGTTAGATCACCTATTTTGCACCTCTTTTGAGCATCGTTGGTTTTTAGTCATAACGTTAAACTTCAGCCTATTAACTCTAGTATGTAAATTAATTAATAAAATTATCCCGCTAAAATGTTGATACTAATATAAGTTTGATTTTAGTATATATATTAATTATTTAATATAAAAAATAATAGTTTTACATATTCTGGTATAATACTTAATTTATTATTTTATTATAATATTTATTGTCATTATATTTTTTTTAATAAATATATTAGAAATAAAATAATATTTTATCTATTTACAAACTCATTATCTCGAGTTTGAAATCATAAATTTGATTTTAAAATAAAATTTAGAAAATTTTAACTTGTAATCAGAGATGAATTTTGAATTGATTTGAAATTCCTAATCCATCTCAAATATATTCTGTGAAAAAAGGCTATCCAAAATCGGGGAAATATTCTATGTAGAAATAAAATATTATGAAATTTCAAATTCTTAGACAAATCTTGTACGTAATGGGTTTATACCAAGAATCCTATTATTTTTAAATTATAAAAAATCTTCATGCAAAATATCTCCACTGATTTGGCGGACCACAATATCGTATTTGATTCAACAAATTAATTAATTTTAGGAAGTGAATAATTGTGTACTTATATGGAAGAATTTGAAAATTCAAATTCCAAAACCAGCCTCGTACATAATGAGTCTATACCAAGTTCCCATACGGATCACAAGATTCCTTCATGCAAGGAATCTTCAGTGATTTGTAGACCAACAAATTACTTAAATTTAGGACGGCAGAAATATCCCTACAATTTAAGAAGGCATTAAATAAATAACCCTACAATTTAGCACGCATTAAATTAGGGGTGGGCGAAAAAACCGGATTTCCCGATCTCGAACCGGACCAAAATGGTCCCGTTCCTAAAAAATAGAGTTCCAATCGGTTTTTAAAATTTTCGTACCATTCCCGGTACCGAACCGGTTGAAACAATGTCGGTTTCGGTTTTTATTTTTTTCCAAACCGTCCCGTTTTATTTTTTTTGTACAAAAATATTATATATATATATATATATTATACATTAATTTATATTTATGTTAGTATTATATTTAATTATTTTTCAACTTGTGTTTCTGTTTCTGTTTCAAATTTCAATTCAATCTTACAGGTTTTTTTTTTAATGGAAGCCCAATTCACTTAACAAACATTTGGCCCAACAAAAAATGAAAAAATTAAACAATAAACATTAACATACCCATTTAATATTTACGAGCACAAGTATAGAGTACAGAATCCCAAATTCCCATTTTCTTCTCCATCTCCATCGCTATACGATGTTTAACTATGAAAAAAGCCCAACTTTATTTGTTTCTATTTGAGGAATTTGCACTCTATATCAAACATTATTCTTTATATTGCACATATACATTCAATATATATTTATTTGCAAACCTACCAAATGTATCATAATTATTTACACATATACCAATCTTTTAATGTCTGTCAAATTATGGAATGTTATAATCAATGATTTTCTCCTTAACTATTGGAACAAAATCTCTCCCAAACCACCCACGTCTCCTCTCTCGTCAAAATTTGTTCTCCAAACCCTATCTACCAATGGCGAAGACAACATGCCCTCAGAATCATCGAAAAAAACCAACTAGATGTGTGGAAGAATCACCACAAAAGTTCAAAAGCACCATTCATCCCCCGATTCCGATGATTGTCAGTCGAAACCCTCCGAATTTGTATCTAAATTTGTCCCTAGACGGCGTTCTGCCTCCCCGTCAAGGTGCGGTCGTTTCTTCGCGGCTGCGACGGCGAGGACGGCTGGAGATCGATCGCCGACGCTAGGGCTGCAGCGGATCGCGACTTTCCTCAACCTGGTGCAGCTGAGACTTGTGGCATCTCGAACGGCTCTCCGGCGCGGTGCTGTTCGTATGTGGGGCCATCGCCGGTGGTCTCGTCAACGGGAGAAAAGTGTTCGCGATGAGCTGCTCGGAGGCTATCTCAAACAAATTTACCCGGTTACGGTTTTTTGGATTTTTTGTTTTCTTGTACGATTGAAAATCGATTGGTCTTGCGATTTCGAGCTTCGGAAATGGCTTGGGGATCATGAAATCAAGCCATATCTCCACGTAGTTTGCTATTAATTTTAGACGAATTTACCTGGTTACGGTTGTGTTGTATTGTGTTATATGTACAGTATATGATGGGTATATGTACAGTATATGTTAAATATATAATTTTTTCTATCTGTTTTGACGAAAATCTTCTCAGAGGGTAATTGTCGAACACTTGGTGTGCTTGATTTGTTGATAGATAGTTCTATTCTGTACATATTGCGAGTATATGCTGTGGGTATATATAGTATATTTTCAGTATATGTTTCGGTATGACAATATGTATGTTTCGGTGACACCACATATACATAAAATATACTTTAAATATATATATTTTCAGTATATATTCACGTAATTCAAATCCGCGACACCACATATACATAAAATATACTTTAAATATACACTCGAGTTTCAATCGTTTCTCAAAATCGATTTTAGAACCCACATATACATAAAATATACCTAAGATATACCACTTGACAGCTGCGTGAATTAAGGAATTCAAGTTGCGCGAATTAAGGAATTAAACGAGTCAGTTATTTTCTCTCTCTTAATCATGCCCATAAAAAGGGGGATGGAGGTGGGAAGGATATGGTAACTGACTTTAGGCATTAATATAGATAAATAAGGTCTTTTAGGTATAAACATAATTATTTCAACTTCTATGGTAAAGTTGCAATTAATTTAAAATCACATAGCATAAATAAAAATTTCCCTTTCTATTTCAACAGAGCTTCAACTAAAATAATCTCTCAAAATCAATCCACACTATAAACTATATAATCTCTGTTGCATGTTCTTAAAATCCAGCGTTATACGATATTTAACTATAAAACATAATTTCACCGACAATTATCATAAAGAAAAGGAGTCGATAAGGATTTTACCCGTTTAAAGTTAGAACATTTTTTTTTCCCGTTTTGTCCCGGTCCCGATTGATACCGATCCGTTTGGGACGGGGTGTCGTCCCGGACCGGTTCAAAAAACCGGGACAGGTACCGGGATAGGTCAAATTCCGGACCGTGCCCACCCCTACATTAAATAATGAATGATTAAAAATTTTAAAATATTTCCGCAAATAGTATGAAATAAATATTGTCTGAAATTTATTCTCTACTATTCTTGGTAAATGTTAATCTCTATAGATATAGATATAGTTACGACAAATTTAACTGCCAACAAAGACTTGCCTTCCCCAAAGCTGCCTGTTGCGACCACACTCCTGAGATGTACTCGCAAATTTCCCACTTTCTTACATAGCTAAATCAGCTCACCTGGAACCAAAAGCATTTCCCAGTCTCTTCACTTAGATGGAATCGGCACATCCCAAGTGCACACAAATAGAATCGAGAAACATGGATATCATGTATATGTACTATTTTCACGAAATTATCATTTGATAGTTTCTTGTAATTATCCAAGACGATGACAAACTGAATATATATTGCAAATTTAAATTGGAAAGCTTACAGAACATGAGACAAACCTTCCATTGACAGTGTAAGGTCATGGAATGTCTTCAAACTGCATCTGCATCACCGTCATTTGCTATATTACCCACCTTCCATCGACAGTGTAAGGTCATAGACCGTCTTCAACCTGCATCTGTGTGACCATCATTTACTATATAACCCTTTTTCTACAGTACTTCCAAATCCATGTAAGTACCTCTCCATGGTGCCCGGCCGATTTGACCAAGTCGTCAAATAGGGGGAAAATGAAAAACCACGCGGAATGGTATCAGATGAAAAGTGTCCACTACTTAGAAATAAATTAGAATAACTTGTGTCCACCCATGAAAGTCTCTTAATTTTATTTGTACGCGGTCCTAAATAGTATCACACATATTTAAACAAATTCAAAACATAATGGAGAATGAAGTGAAAAATGCATGCAACATCAGTGTGGGAGAGGGACCCCTCTAAATTGGAATCCCACCATTAAGTAGAGGCCTTTCCTTCTATACGCAGTCTCTTGGGACCTTTCTCTTCATCCTGGTTGCTGGTTGAAACCGGAATGCCCTTAGCCTCCATCGAGCATCTCTTGTAAGGTTTAAATCCGGTCCGTCGAGCTTTTACCTTAACTTGCCCGTGTCCTATGGTTAGAATCCCCTCTTTGTTACCATTAATCAGAGAGACATTGTCATCTCCCTCTTGTTTGTGGGGACAGGTACCGTTGAGGTCTAGCTGCAGCCTGTTTTGGTCTTTCTCCGCATTTTCCTTAATGGAAAACATTTTATTGCCTTTGTTCTTGACATCATCTTGCGGAGGCGAAAAACTTTGGGGCAATACCTCTCTAGAAAAAAGCGCTTGGAATGCCAGCCTTCCCTGCATACCATCCATCCAAACAAACAAACAAACAAACAAACAAACAAAAAAAAAAAAAGAAAAGAAAAAGGCAATTAGTAACATGTTGCATTGTTGCTGCATGTATTATTCAACAAGGCCAGAATTATCAAGTGAGTACCTCTTCAGATACTTCCTTCCAGGAATCGTTCACGTAGCTTGCGGTGTTTCTGCAACGTCGGCTAAAAGGGTCTTCGGAAGCCTCTTTCTCGTTCGTCTGCTTTTCGTCGTCTTTACCTTTCACTCCCGCCTCCACATCACTGCCCGAGGGCGTGTTCGAGCCGCACGAGGAGCGGTCTGCAGGCTTTTCTGGCTTTTTGTTATTGGACATGTTCTTGGCTTCAGTATCCACATGTTTTGCATGTACTTCGGCAACAATCGGCCCTGCATCAGCACTTGCCTCGGATTCAGATGATGATACAACAGTCATTTTAGGAACCGGATGCTGCTGCTGCTGCTGTTGTTCATGCATCATCAAGAGAACGTCAGAGCATTCTGGATCCAGCTGTTGTTGGCCAAATAAGACAGTAGGAGGATTATCAGGACCGTTTTCTGATATTCCTAGGTTGTTGTTCATCGGAGGAGGGTGAAAAGGTGTACACAGTAAAGGAGGGAGCAGCCCATGGGCGGCCCACCATGCGGTGGCAGCTGCTACTGTGGCTGCTGCAATTGCCGCCATACTTGGAGTAGGATTAGGAGGAGTCGAACTCGCTGAGGCTGTAGAGGACGGTTCTCCTGCTACACAGACTACTGGAGCTTCCATGGTGTTCGTGCATGGCCACAAAGTGGCGGCATACCTGGCCGCAGCATAGGATGCGGGGTTTTGTGACAAAGCAGAGACTAGAAGGCTCGAGAACATTGTGGAAATGTGCAGAAATGAATTGTAGTAGTCGTTTTGGTTCTGGATGGGAGTGAAGATTGGCGGATGATAACAGGAAAATGATTGGTTCGAGGATCTCGACGTGTTATGAATGTGATGGTGATTTTCACAAGTAGCAGCAGGGGCAGGCTGATTCATGAATAGGTTCTGATGAGCGTGGGCCACGCCTGTTTGACTAAATTTAGAGTCGGCTGCAGCAGAGGACATATCTAAGTTTCCGTCAAGAATGTGCACTGGGACATGACGTGGATAGTTGTTTGTCGAGGCTTGCACGTCAGCAGTTGACAATTTCTCCATGCTTTCGGCTGTCTTCTCACATTGCATGGACTTCTCGTCGTGTGAGGTGGGGTATGAGTCGGCGCCATTTGAGACGTTAAATAAAGGTTGTTTGCAGTCAGAGTTTACTCCGTGGGGTTCAACCGTGATTTGAGATGCGGCAGTCCCATTGTGATTGGTTGCTTCTTTCGAGAGGGGGACATATTGCGTAAAAGTACACGGCTTTTCAGATGCATCAGCTGGAGACAGGGATGAACAACGCACAGCCCTGTGCTCATTATTACCATTATCCGACTTTTCATCATCATTAGGTTCCTGGAGCATTAAGTGGCATCACAAATAGGCAGATAAGAAATGGGACAAAAGGGAATAGAATGAATAGAAAAGGAGAAAAAAAAGTTGATAACATATCCAAGTAGCAAACAGTAGGAGTGACCTATACCTCTCCAGGTTCTTTCTCCAAAGCTATTGTCAGTTTACTATGACACGAAGAAGAAACCGAGCATGGTGTATTCCCATTCTTCAATGCCACTTGGGGGTTAGGAGTTTCTACACATTTCTTTCGAGGATAAGGACTACTTGGTTTCCTCTTAGGTCGTGGTGGAGGGATATCAATGTCAAGTGCATGCCCAACTGGAACTCCTTTAACATTGGCCTCCTTTTCCAACTGTATTTTCGACACAAGAGTTAAGAAAGAAAAATCATAATATCATAGAAGATATCTAGCGAGAGGGATTTCATTTTCTAGCTCCAACTAGGAGACAAGATTTATCCAGAAGAGCATGCATACTCCTGCATGTATGCTCTGGCTACCAAAAACAGTTATATTAGAATTCAATAGCTCGGTAAGACAAAAGTAGAGCTTATGATTGACAAGCTTCTCCGTGAAACAGCACACTACATCTTTCACAACAGTTATATGAGATAAAGTTAGCTGTATTTCGTGAAAGTCACCAGTAATTGCTAGGACAACAGATATCTGAGATAAAGTTGGTTGTACTTCGTGACAGTCACCAGTAATTGCTAGGTACTAAACAAATTTTCCAATTTTACATCATTGGTTATTATACTCATGGATTGAATTCAAATTTCAATGTCATCCAGGTGAATACTCGCACGCTGTGGACATGTAGGATGAATTAAATCTGGAAAACTATGGTTAAGAGAGATTTTCGGAGTGAATGGTGAAATACGAGATGATGATATTTCGAGCTATAGTAATCCTTTACCAATAACCTTAGAAATCATCAGTCATACATACAAGCTACAGAATTTGAACATTAAACTTTCCATCACAAGAAAGTAAGAACATATGACATAGTGATCTATTTTCACAATCTGGGTAAAAAATGATTGAGAGCATTCACATTTCTTAATTCATGTGACTTTACTACAAGACACGACATAGTGATCTATTTTGACAATCTGGGTCAAAAATGATTGAGAACATTCACATTTCTTAATGCACGTGACTCGACCACAAGACACAACATTCGATGCCTACTATAGACAATCAATTTTCATCAACACTAGAACAAGGTTACCACATCCTATCCATAAAAAAGCAGGCCTTCTATAATTATCCAAACATTGTGATGTTTACTTCTTGGAACATCATTGAATAGCTAAACACCTCAATATTATTTAAAAACAGGTCTTTCCTTTCAGTAGGATGCCACCCCTGTTGGAATAGAATGCAACTCCAAGTTTTTAACCAATAACAAGAATTCTGAACATATATTATTATCAGCATTATGCATGATTACTTTCTGATGCTCAATTACCCCATGTAGATAACACAAGCATCTTATCAGAAGCAAGTGTAGTAAAAAAATTGTCGTGAACTGAACATTGATAAGTTCATACTATTTAGGCAATCTAATCAAATAGTTTATTTAACTTATCACTTCCTCCTAAATTGACACACACTTATTCTATTAGAGACTTCTACATAAATATAATTGATCCACATCATGGAGTGAAGAGGGGTGCTAAATAATAGGTTTTATCTAGAGGGTACCACAATGGTGAAGAAGTTGGAGCTGTTGCTGACGTAAGTTTATGTTGATCACACTCATGCATTATATAATGGAAAGATTGCCCGGAAGGAGGGTTAACAGTGTTGCAATTTGATTATTGTTTTATGGAGAGGGTCACAGGAGGATGACAAAACTGCTGGTATGGGCAGCGCGACAGCCGACAGTGGCCAGAAAGAGTCATTTGACAATGATTGGAAAAATTCATCCTCAAGTAGTTGAAATCAATCTCATACATAAAAGTGTGTCCCTAAATGTCGACATTCTGAAATAATAATCAGGGTTGAGCAGTATTCAATAAATTTCATAGTCAATAAGGATTCTTGTAAAGGTACTGCTTAATCCATACATACCTAATAAGGTGGTAAATGTACCAACCTAGAGGCCGGTGGCAGTGGCAGTTGCCAACTACATTCCATGCGGATAAAAGTTAAAAAAAAAAATAACAATAAAGAATTATTACTTTAAGTTGGGCAAAACACCATGCAATTAGATTAAATGGGAAAAATTATATATGCTGGAGTAAATGGGAACATGATCGAGTTCGAAAGATAGCCACATTATTGCTTTGGTATGTGCCACAAAACTATATGCATGTTTCTTGAAATAAGATAATTGAAATATTGAATTTCTGTTTTGCGTTGTTTAATTTGCATAGATAACAACGTAACAGAATTTGATGTGATGATTATTAACATAGGGCATTTCAAGAAAATAATCATAAACTTAACTTTTTTGGAAGCAATAATTGATGTTTTAGAATTGTATGAAACAACATGTCCAGAATATTTTGTTGATACAGACTACAGAGTAAAAAATATATGTATATTAGACATGTGGGTCGCATTCTATCCACTTGTTTACAAGAGAGCAAAAATAATAATGGTCCTGTTTGCCCACATACATAACAAGAAAAAAACATATCTGATAGTTGATTCTATTAGCTAACAGTTGATATCGAATTAAGTTAGCTATTCCACTAGAAAACTGTATTAAATGATAATATAGAACTGTTTGGTAGACATTTGATGGATGAAAATTATTAGATTGTGATAATGACTAATAAGATATTGAAATTATGTACTTTTTAGTATAATACTGTTGATAATATACATATATGTATAATTATGCACACATATGCTTAGTTTATTGATTAATAATAGTAGTGATCGATATAAATTTTTTAGATGACATTCATGGTTAGATTTATTACATTGTTAACTCACAAATATTAAGTTTAACTTGTTCAAGAAGGCAAATTACTAATAATTATAATAAATTCTTTATAGAGTATATTCAAAATCAATCATAAATACAATCATAAATATAATATAGTTTATTATAAATATATGAACTTTCATAGTTTTAGGACAAAACAATTCTTTCACCTAAATGGGCAATCCCTTATTTGTAAGAGTTTTTCTACCCAGCTTTTTAGGTCCTTTCAGCCTAAAAGTTAATCAAAATGTCTACATGATATTACTAAGCACCTGATCAATCCTTTAACTTTGCCCCAAACATCTCATTACCGAACGACAAAACAACAAGGCTAATATCTTCTGTTTCCCTGCGCATGTGCACAATTAGGAAATGATTTACAAGTGAAGATGAAGATGCCAACATATAAGATGAGTCTTTGCTTTAAGTGGACTACTCGGAATAAATGACCCAGGTCTATATCAGAAGCAGGCTCTATGTGATTCCATGTTAACAAGTATTTGAAAAGTTTTTGGGCACACAATTAGCTCTCACAGGTCAAAGCACACAAGTGAACAAGAGTGGATCATACTGTTATGCAGCTTTTATATAAACTGTGGTGCATATTCACTTGATTATACAGAAACCACTTACTAGAACAGAAATCCTATAATCCTGGCGCGAAACAAAATTTGGAAAGAAAACAAAGCTCAACCTCACATCTAACGGTTGTTCAACTGGAAGCATTTGGGATGCATACAAAGTAAAGTCTGTTCACAATAGAAAATATGATCGAAGGCGTCAAACTTCTACTCAAAGAATATCAAGGGTAAGATGTGTCTTACAAAGAAGTGTAAGACGAGATTTTACCATCCTGACTATTAAATTCAAAATCAGAATATATCCTTCATTAAGGTGGCAAAGAAAAAAGCAATTATGCCAAAATAAAAAAAAAAATTAAAAAAAAAATCTGGAAGAGGGAGAAGAGAAAAGAACTAGAAAGAATGAATTTTTTACGATTCCCAAAGCTACCTGATAAGTATAATTTCTAGGATGAGGATTTTTGTTGGGAAGCATGTCATAACAGTCATGAACCCACTTGTTTGGAAGCTATATTCTCCTTGCATCAGTCCTATCAATTTACAGGCATTTTTTATCACTTGGTTCTGCATAGAGAATCCATCACATCATACCAGTTATCTAACCAGTAGTTTAACTGACTGATTTATACACTAAGATAAGAAGTAGGAGTCATTATTAACTAGAACCAAGTGTTACCTCCAAAATCGACTCCTAGAACAAAATGAAGTCTGTGAATATAAGATCAAACAGAATCATACAATACAATACTTGCATAAACTCATTAAGTTAAAGAATAGATTAGTATAATCCTCCAAAACGAGTAGAGTATTTAAATCTAAGAAACATATGCATATATTGCACTAGTTAGATAGTATGTGAAGACAATACTTTTGTCAAAAGAAAATAACCATGAAAATACTAGCAACAGGAATATAAAATATATAGCTGGTATATTTAGAATATATGATACGTGTATGGTTGTTCTCACTTCTCACATCCTGCTGTTTGAGTTTAGAATGTAAGTTCATCATAATTTAAAACTGCTGTAGCTATTTTTCGTATGGAACCCCGAGCATCTAGTTTTAATTTGGCTTTTCTCGTTCTGAATTCAAATTATAAGAACAATAACCAAATGTGTTCCACACTTGAACCTAAATCATGTCAAGCATAACCCAGGAAGTATATCTTTAGGGCAAATATATGACCTATAAGAGACCAGAACACAGTACCTTTTTCAGCAAACTTTCAACTTCCGCATCTTGATAAGAAAAGAACAAATGAAAATATATGAAAATTTCACTTTCCTAATATCCACGAGTGCTAAAAGCTAGCAAAAAGGTAGTCGATATATAGCCAAATAATATAGAAAGGAAAGGCAATGTGATCGACCTTGGTGAAAAACTTCTGTGCATGACTTCTGATCTGCACAGCAGTCTTGGTTCCAATATGTTCTGCACCACCACCAGATACAAAAACAAAAGAAAGACGGCAGACAGTTCCATAAACAAACCAAATATATATTCAGAAAAATGGTTTTGCCAAAGGAAATATGTAAAGAACGTATATTGAAATCGTGTACATATATAAACTTCCAAAAATGAATTGGTTACATAAGGAAGTTTGATATCAACAATAATTTGCAAATTTCGAAACCTTCTATACGCTGCCAAGCACGGCCATAGAGCTTGAGGGCTTCTAAGAACCTATTATGCTCCTCTTCAGTCCATCGCTCCCGTTGCTTGGTAATAGTGTAAGGTTTCCTTGTCTGCATATGCACAGAAACAAAGATTTTTCATGGTCTCTACAAAAAGAATTCTATGGCGTAGAGAGCTCTTTAGGATTCATTGAAAATTTATTAGACCTTAACAACAAGGTCTTCTCCAGATGAATAAGGGTCCATCTAAACAGAGGACCACGGTATGCTACTGCTACAGACACACAGGACAAATTCATTCATTGCTTGCAACAACTCCTCTGGTGGTGGTAATATTGGAGGAGACCTGACAAAGTAACACTAGTACTGCAAAAGAGAGAAACTTGTAACAAAAGGATCCTTTGGCAAGTCTGCCTCTGTTTCTGACCGTGAATTCTTTCTTTCATAAGCAGTGTCTTTGTCCTTTTCAAAACGGGATTTTTTAAAATCGTTCAGTTTTGTGATAAACAGGTAAACAAGACAGTAACACCACAAACACCAGAATTACAAGTTTGAAACAGAGACGGATAAAGAGAGAAAGTGGAGCGAGACGCATCTCTGAACCCAAAACAAGAAGTACGAGCAGGAGTAGTTAAAGGAAGCAGTTAACTCTTTTCTATCAAGAATCTCACCCTAAACGAACTGCGATGTTGCCTTTAACCTTTCGAATCGAACCCATATAACATGAATAGGAAGCACAGATAAAGCANACGAACTGCTTCAATCAGTATGCTCAAATAGATGGACACGTCTAGCATCATTGATTGCTTACCAAATCAGTTGAAAAAAAGCGACAAACCAATTAGAAATCTCAACATATACCTTCGAAGATAGCCATTGGGAGATCCAGCAGTCTACAGGCTCGGATCTTTACAGAATCATCACGCATACGGACAGAAGCTCAACATACAAACTCGCAAATGGCGGATCTAAATACTCCAGCTCACTCAAGCACACTCGAAAAGGCTACAAACAGTACGAAACTGAAGGGAACAAGCAGAACACAGCAGATGGAGAAAGTGATGAAAGCCCCAACGGTTGTTTCAGTTTTTGCTCTTATCAAAAAAATTTCGCCATTAAAGGAAAAACGACAGCCACTAGAAAATATCGGGTGGATTTGATTTAGGAAATATGGAGGAAATTAGGAATTATTTGAGGCTGGTGAGCAGCCAACACAGGAGGCAAATGGGGTTAGGGCAAGAGGATGGTGCCACGTGGCGGAAAGTTAGTGGGTGGGAGCTCCTGCTCCAAGCGCTTTGCACTTTTGTTTGTTTCTTATTTATTAAAATATATAGAGGTTGTTTCTCCACCACAAACTCGGTGTTGGGAACTGAGTCTGCTGGGCCGAGTCTTGGAAAAAACTTTTGCCTCGTCAGCGGACGTGGGTCCCACAGATAAATGAGCACGTGGCGCTCTTTCAAGAAATGTCGCCGACAATCCCATCACAATCCCGCTCGCCTTCGGTAGACCGCAATTAGTTTTTTATTTTATTTTTTCTGTTATTTGATTGAAACAGTTGCTTTGTACTTAGATACAAATATATTAGTAAACGACCTTGTACATGGACATATATAAATTATGAAGTATTATAAATTTTATGTATATATAATATTAAAATTATATAATAGATAATATATATTATATCTTATAGTTTTGATTATTGATTAATGCAATATAAATATAAATTATTTAAGTCACATGAATTTTCTATATTAATTGCATAAAATGTAATACATATACATCACATATTTTGTCTTAGTGCATAAAATGAGATACATAAATGTTGGAGTGCATAAAATGTAATACATAACATACTTTATGTTACTTTGAAAGATCATCACCAATTAATTACCTAGACAAATATTGAAACAATAATATTTATAATTATTAGAAATTATTTGAGGAGTTTTCATGCCATTAAAGTAGTTATACGATTACAAAACTAATATTACTTTCAGAATACATAGCTTGGAACATTATATAGTATATTTTTCTATTATATACAACTTACATATACCATTTAGTGTATATTATAATTAATTGATTTTAGTAATAACTATTGTATTATAGATTTAATAAAATATAATTACACTTCATCTATATATATATAATTACTAGCTAATAACATTTAATAAAACCTATTTAATTTTACCTATGTGGCAATTTAACAATTTTCCCTCCAAAAACCGTTACATTTTGATGTATTTAATCTTTCATTTAATCATTAAATAATTAATACTCATCACTTCAAAATTAGAAAAATCATTTTAAACTTTTGATTAATGACAGTTGACCATATAATGTGTTGACCGTATAATGTGATTAGATGTTATTATTGTTGTTACATTTTTTTTTTTGAACATAAAAAATATATTTAAAATTCCTAAATAAATAATAAATATTTCACAAATAAAAGACGTACCAAAATATACATTACATCCAATCAGATAAATACAATTTAAAAAAAAATAATCCAACTCTTATAATTGTAAATGTGGTGCAAAAAAGTGAAAGAAAAATAATTAATCATTATATGCATACAGACTCACAATAATTTATTTATATCTGTGCAAATGCACAGGTCGAATACTAGTTAATATAAAATATAACAGCTTTATCATAATTAATTAAAAATTTGGGCGGGAAAAGTTTGTCATTTGCATTATTTTGATTACCTGAAAATATATATATATATATATATATATATATATATAGATTGTATACAGATATATACACTAAAAATGAATTTTTGTGTTAATTAGGCCATCTCCAGCCCTTATCTCTACTCTAGCACGGACTTTACTCTACTCTAGAGTAGAGTTAAACATTCATCTCCAGCCCTTATCTCTACATTTTACTCTACATTAAATATATTATTTTTTTATTCATTTTTTATTTCAAATAAATTGGTATATGTATATTTAATCTTATATAAAACGATAATTACTCAAATAATAAAAATATATTTTATTTATTTTTATTTTGAATAATTTGCTATATGTATGAATATGTAATATTATATAAATGTTTATTACCCAAATAGTAAATAATTAGTGCAAATTTACACACTAGACCATATATGGTTTAGACCATATATGAAATAGTGCAAATTTACACACTAGACCATATATTGGTTTAGAGCATATATTCACATTTAAAAAATAATTGTAATAAATTGAATTTCTTAAAGAAGATACATATACATCTATGTACCGATTGAATCAAAACTATTACTTTTGAAAATATATGAATTAGTGCAAATTTACACACTAGACCATATATAGTTTAGACCATAAATGAATTAGTGCAAATTTACACACTAGACCATATATGGTTTAGACCATAAATGAATTAGTGCAAATTTACACACTAGACCATATATGGTTTAGACCATATATGTCATCTTTAATCATGTTGTGTTTATTTGTGTGTTAAGTCATTTTTAATCATGTTGTTTTTATTTATGTTCTATGATTTTATGTGTGTTGTAAACTTAATTTTAATGAAATAAACTTGTTTGAGTGTGTTAAATTTTTATTCATATAGTATCATTTTAATATTAAAAAATTGCAAAATAAAATTATAATACATCAATAAATAAAAAGCACAAAATTATTTAGCATAAAAAATACATTACACAATTATTTAGCATAAAAAATATATTCACTAATACACATTATACAAAAATTTATCATTAATATTACATTATAATACATTAAAAAAAAAAAATGTAGAGTTGCTACAGTATATCTCCACATGTGGAGATACACTGTTTATAACTTTATTCTAAAGCAGAGAAATAGCGCAGCATTGGGGCAAATTATCTGCACAACTCCAGCGAAAAGTGGACATCTAGCGCTGCATTGGAGTTGGTCTTAGGGTTAATTTTTTTACAAAAATATGGTATGGTTAGTTGTTAGTGATATTTTGAATTTATATTAAAATAATAATTAAAAATTGATTTGATTTAAAAGTAGGGGAAAGATTATGTGCAGTGATAGTTAATTAAAATTACGTAAGTGGATTAATATTGAATTAAAGTTCATGTGATGTGTAAGAATAATTGATTGGTATTACTTAATTATATTGATAATATTGAGGATAGCGGAGTTGAGTTAAGATGAGTAAGATTGTGAGTATGAATTTTGTTTATCTATAAACAAACAGACCGTTGATCTCCCCTACCTTCGGTTTCTTAGGTTGGGTCTGGCTTGAGCTCCTAATCTTTTATATGATCTAATTAGCCATCTCGAATTTGGAATAGAGTTTTTAGGTTTGAAAATCTTGATCTATATTTCTCTTTACATTATTGAGTTGGATGCCAAGCTTGCGGTAGGATGGTGCTCAAAGTTATTGGCGATTTTGCACTGTTGGTTACATCAATTAGAGTTTGGGGAGCAGTTGTAAATGTGAGTTACTTAGAGCACCCGCAATGCTTATGTGGCAAATAAATAAACTTAAGTCTATAATGACATGGACAAATCCAAGCTAAAAAATTCATAATCTATCCAATGCAAAAAAAAAGTATTAGGTTTAGAATACCTAACAACCAATAAAAATATAATAATAGTAAATAATTGCTATTGTAAAGTTCACATTTGGGTCCAAAATAGACCCAAAAGTGGACTTGGTCTTTTTTTTTATTGCTACATAAGCTAGACTATGTCCACTTTTAATTGCATTGTGAAACACTTTTTTATAGACTATGTCTCTACACGGCATGTGATTTTTTTTTAAAGAGATTTGCTCTTAGAAGAGAAGGAGATGCTTAGTTTATATATTTTTTATTTTATTCTTATTAGTCTTTTTTGAGGGAGTGTGCAATCTTCGATATGGAGTGTTGCAGTCTTTAGTAGAATTGTAATTTTGTTGTTTGTTAGTTGCTTTTATTATGTTTGTGTTGTTTAGTTCCCTTGACAGCATGCGTAATCCCATTAAGAGGTTTAGTTTTTGTAATAGTTATTTTGTATTATTAATAATATTTATCATCATTTAACAACAAAATAAATTAAAAAATAATTAATGAGTTACCAAACGCAGTGGGGTATATTAAAAAAAATTACTTAATTACAAAATAAAAGTGGTACGATAAAGATTAAATATTAATGAATAATATCTTACTCATTACAAATTTATATTTCAG